TTTTTTGTTTTTATCAATTTTTAACTCTTTACCAACCCCTCCCGAGCTAATTTGGTTTAACATCTCATATAAAAAAGTTCCATAATTGCACGTGGATTTCAAATCAGGATTTAAATGGAGTTTAATTGAAATTGAAACAAAATCACCTGTCCCACACTTTTCCCCTCTATAACTTCTCCCCAAATTTTCTTTTTTTCCCTGAATTATTATTAATCTCTGCTTGCTTTGCTTTCTGTCACAGCCCTCTGAAAATCCTACTCGCTCTCGTTCAATGCCTATTTATTGCTGTGTTGTGTGCATATCTGCGAGTATCAATTAACCAGAGTTCTCTCTGTTCACGTCTCTGTATACAGACTTGCTGAAGAGATTGGTGTTTGTTGAATCACTCGGCGAATTGGGTTTTTTTCTATTGGAGGACTCGTTCGTTGTTGAGGTGTTCGTCATTGTTTCTTGTTCGTTTTTTAGATTTGTGTGTTTTTTTCTCTCTGTGTGTGTATCTTTTGTGGTTATATGTAATGTGGGGTTTCTCTATTTTCAAGAAAAATTGCAACTTTTTGGGTTTTCTGTCCTTTAAATCTGTCTTGGGTTTATCTGAATCCGTTTCATGTTTGAATTTGACCGTATGAGAAGTTTTTTTTTCTTCAAAAAAAATGAAGTTTTGAGCTTTTTTGGGCTAGAATTTGGGTGATGAGTTGTTATGATTCTTTACTGGTTCCTGCTAACTGTTAAAGTTGTCGTCTTGCTTTGAGTTAACTGTGTTTTCATCCAAGTTTTGAGCTTTAGGCTCAGTTGGGGTACCAGAGACTCAAATCTAGCTATTAAATAAGAAATAAGAAACAAGGTGTTTGGTCAAAATTTAATCTTTTTATTTTTTTTTAGTTGGTTAAATATTGATTTGACGTTGACTCCGGCGTTGACCGATGACCGTAGTTTGTGTTCCCGTTGTCCTTAAAGTCTGCGTTCGCCCTTGTTTAGGCTGGAATTTGGTTGTTTGGGGTTAGCTCATGTGGACAAGCGCAAAGATTTGCATGTCTTGTTATAGAAGATTTTAGTGCAACTGCCATGTTGTTCTGCTGTCTAGTTTCTTTGTACTTTTTAGGGTTCTACATTATCTTCATCAATGTTGATATATGTCTGTCGTGGTATATATTAGCCTGACCCATAAATCACGGTGCTGTTTGGTTGACAAAAGTGTCAAGAAGAAGGTCATGCATTGTTGATTCAAGTGGAAGAAGTGTTGCAAAGATGAAAAAAGCTAATAAAAAAGGGCGATGCTTTGCCGTGTTTTAATTTCTGTTTTCATTCGATCTAAAACTTAGCTCCAAAAATATGACACACTTTTATTATACTTGTCACTAGTTATAGCCTTTTGTGTTCTGAGATATTAGAATCAAGGAGCTTACATGACTGATACCCGCAGTACTTTGGGGACATTACTGTCACTTACAATTTTTCCTTGCTTCTCAGCAGAGAATATGTATTGGGAAAATTATCTACTAGTTTTGGTTGTTTGAGATTTGATCTCTATCTTAGAGCAATGCCATATGCAATCTGAATCATTTTGTTTGTTTTCATTGTGAACTATTTCAGTCATGCTTTCAAGACACATGTCTGCATAGCTATAAAATTTTGATCCAGTTCTTTAATGAAGAGTTTGACCTCTGTTTTTAGTTAAATGCCCCCTGATTACCATTCTCGATTTTCCCGGAGAATTATGGTTTCACTAATGGGGATCAGCCATGTGAGTCATTGTGAGATCTAACCTTTTCCTGCATTAATGCTTCAGAAATGAATATATTTCGTATTTTTCCAAGTTACCTATAATGTTGTACATGTGGGGTCCACCCTTGAACCATTCGCTCGGGTAATGCTCGAAGATTTTTTTTATGCATATCCGTTTACCTTTATTTATGACTCTGCGTGAGCTCTGACATCAGATAAACACTTCATGTCTGTTAATTTATTTATTTTTTTTTAAATAATATATCTTTGCCGTTCCTGATAGAACAATCTGAACCGTGTTAGGTACTCTCAACACTCCAGCAAATTTATCCGAACAAATGGGAAACAGCACACGGGAGCTCTTTTCGCAAGCTAACGCTTATCATGAAAAGTGTAAGCAACGAGCATACTTCAACTTTTGCAGTACTTTCATAGTTACCTCTCTAGAACAATCTTTTTATTTCATAGTTTTATTTATTTTTGGCCTGTTAACAGTGAACATCAGTGAATTAAACCGTGAGGACAGCAAGAAAGTGATTGTTGATGATGAGAATTATGCGGTTGAGAGCTTATTACCAGACGAGGATGAACTATTAGCCGGGATGGTTTATAAGCTCGTGGATGATTTGGAAGAATATGATCTTTTCGGCAGTGGAGGAGGCTTTGAACTGGAAACTGATCTGCAAGAAAATTTAGTGAGATTTGGTATTTCGAATCTGAATTTATCCGATGGTGGTGGGGCTCGGTTGAATTTTCCCGGTGGTGTGGGGACTGTTGCTGGAGAACATCCTCTCGGAGAGCATCCTTCGAGAACTTTATTTGTTCGCAATATTAACAGTAACGTTGAAGATGAGGAGATTAAAGCTCTCTTTGAGGTACTTTCAAATGATAAATGTTGATAATAACATAAATTACCACTAAGGGCGTGTTTTGGATATAAATATATTCGCTCAAAATGAGTTTTTTTTTTTTTTTTTTTGTTAACTAGGGTTAATTTTGAAAAAGTTGGTATGGTTAGTCATTAGTTGGATTTTGAGTTTATAATAAAATAATATTTAAAATAAAATAATTAATATTTATTTGATGTAAAAGTATGAGAGAGATGATGTGAAGTGATGATTAGTTAAAATTATGTGAGTTAATGAACAATGAATTATCTGAATTAAAGTTGATGTGATGTGTAAGAAATATTGATAATACTGAAGATGATAGTGAGGTTGTGTTAAAGTTGAGTTAGATTTTGAATATGGGTTGAAATAGTTTATAAACAAACACGCCCTAAGGTTTGGATTTATCAAGAAAACACACACTCGAAATAATAATAATAATAGTAATAATAATTTAGAGAATTATTGTTAAATGTTAGCTGGCCATTATGTGCCGTTTTCATGCTAGAATTAGTGAGATGAAATAACTTATTGTGGTTCCGTTTGCTCGTTGTCTTCAGCAATATGGTGATATCAGAACATTGTACACTTCCTGTAAGCATAGAGGCTTTGTGATGATCTCTTACTATGACATTCGTGCTGCCCGTACAGCAATGCGTGCCTTGCAAAATAAGCCACTCCGGAGGAGAAAGCTCGATATTCACTTCTCGATTCCTAAGGTTTGCAAATCTTTAATCTTGTACCAAGTATAATAGAAAAATGCCTCCCGAACGTCATTGCTTTTGTATTTACCTAACAAGTAAACCCGAGAGGATGCAATATGTAAAGGAGAAAGATAATGTCTTGGGGATAGTGTAAATTTGATAAATAACGGTGTTGTTTTGTCCTCTCTCTTTTTTGTTTGGTATCTTTGTACCTTGTCTGTTCACTGACAGTTCATTTCTCTCGGTTTTTTTCATCTGTTTATAGGAAAACCCATCTGATAAGGATGTAAATCAAGGTACCTTGGTAGTATTTAATTTGGACCACTCGGTTTCAAGTGATGATCTTCTTCAAATGTTTGGGGCTTATGGCGAGGTCAAAGAGGTGCTTAGTTTTCCATCTTTTTTTCCTTGTTATTTTCAGCAAAAATGCATTTTTAGTCAGGTTGGCCATAGCAATTTTAGTCCCAAATTCCAACTTTTCTCATTTGCGCCTTTGAGGACTGAAATTGCAGCAAATTTTAAATTACAGGACTTAAATTGCTAATAAAAAATCTAAGAATTTGGAAATTTGTTGCAATTTGAGAAATTAAGATTGCGGTAAAATATTACCTCGGAGGACCAAAAGGCAAAATGTTGGACCTTTGATACTAAAATTTGCTATGAGGTTATACCAACAGGACTAAAAATGTAATTTTGCCTTAATTTTTCCAAGAAAAACTTTGTGCGTTTAATATCCGACAATAGCATGTAATATTTTTTTCATAACATCAGATAAGGGAGACACCCCACAAGAGACACCACAAATTTGTTGAATTCTATGATGTTAGAGCTGCTGAGGCTGCACTCAAGTCCTTGAACAAGATTGATATTGCTGGTAAACGGATTAAGCTCGAACCTAGCCGTCCCGGTGGAGCTCGGAGAAGGTTTTTCTATTAATATTCAACTTTTTATTTTTGTTTTAAATTTGAAAATCTTGTATAATAATCTAAAGCTGAGATAAATGTACTCATGGATGTTATGGTAATATTTAATTGTATGTTGTGAACTTAATATTTTTTTTTTTTTCGTATGCCTTTCAGTTCACTGCTGCAAGCAAATAATGATCTTGAGCAAGAAGAAAGAAATTTGTATCACGTGGGTTCGCCGCTTGGGAATTCTCCCCCCGGTATTTTTACTCATACGAATCCGTTCATTGTTACCTTCCTGTTAGCATACATACTGGGATAAATTTTTCTATAATTTGGAAAGATATTACAATTATGCCCCTGAGATTTTTCGAAACCCCCTTGATAAGGTGTGTAATAAGTAAAGAACTAATAATCAGTGAAAATTATATGTCTATGAAGTACTATTTATAAATATCTAAAATATATTTGTTACTTTATCCTGTATTTTTTTTCACAGGGCTCGTTTTTTATTTTTGGCAGGAAATTGGCCACAGCACGGTAGCCCAATGGAGCGAAACCCCTTGAAAAACTACAGTAAATCACCCGTTTTTGGTTCGATTAGCCCTCCAGTTAGCAGCAGTGTACCTGGACGAGCTTCAATTCTGAACCAGGTGGGATCCACGATCCAAGATAGCCCGAACGGACATTATTTGGATCATATATTTTCTAATAATGGAAATTCGAACTCTCGAGTCATCTTGGACCAATCCCTTTCATTGCCAGATCATCATTATCCAAGCAGTCAGTTTGGCGGGCCTGGGCCCGTTTCCTCATTTGGGCCGTCCAAACCATTATTTGCCGGGCCACAGCATATCTGGGGAAATTCAAATTCAAATAGTAACGGTTTCAATTTTCTAAACCACGATTACCGTGTGGGGTCAGCTCCGACTGGCATCCCTCTCGAGCAGAAATTTAGTTATATTCGAGAGTCTCTCAAAGGGTCTTTTGCGGGCCCTTGTTATGGAAGTGTGGGATCAAGAAGTTATGGGGAGCACGTTTTTGGTGGGAACTCGGTTGGAAATGGTTCTCCTGTTTTTTTCGGTAATGGCATTTTTCCTAGCATGGAGGGTTTTGCCGAACGGAAATCAAGGCATTTTGGAGGCAAGGGATCCCAATTAGATAACAAGAAACAATTTCAGCTCGATCTTGATAAGATTAAGAGCGGTGAAGATACTCGGACGACTCTCATGATAAAAAATATCCCCAACAAGTAAAAGCTTTTTTTTTTTTAATTATTATTATATGGCAAAAATTCATTTTTAGTTCTGTTGGTTTAATGCCATAATAATTTTAGTCCCAAAGTTTCAATTTTCCGCCTTTTGGGCCCGTGATTTAATATTTTGCTCCAATTTCAACCCTCTGGGACTGAAATTGCAGCAAAATAAAAAATTATAGCACTGAAATTGCAACAAAATTTTAAATTACATGACTCACTTAAATTGCTTATAAAAAATCTGTGAATTTGTGAATTTATTGCAATTTCAGTCCTCGAACGAATGAAATTGTGTAAAAATACTAAATCACAGGAGCAGAAGGCGAAAATGTTAGAATCTAGGGACTAAAATTGCTACGACGTTAAATGAGTAGGACTAAAAAATGCAACTTAGCCTTATTATATATATCTATATATGTCTTGGGATGAACAAAATAGAATATTCACTTTTAACCTTTTAATTTTGTTGTTTCTTATTTTAGGTACACTTCCAAGATGTTGCTAGCTGCTATCGATGAGCATCACAGGGGAACTTACGACTTTCTCTATTTGCCCATTGACTTCAAGGTCATCTTTTGTTCGTCCCTGTAACATTTTTCGTGGATTTTGCCCTTTTCATTGAGGGAAAAAAAAAAAGAATTAACTGATGATATGTGTTGTGTTTGCAGAATAAATGCAACGTGGGCTATGCATTTATTAACATGTTGTCTCCACTGAATATTGTCCCGTTTTATGCGGTTTGATTCTTTTAATCTCTGATATATCTCGATTCTATACTCACTTCGGCAAACTTTACAAATTCTGATATTTTGCTCGAATGTAGGAATTCGAACGCAAGAGGTGGGAGAAATTCAATAGCGAAAAAGTTGCATCTTTGGCTTTTGCTCGTATTCAAGGGAAAGCTGCCCTCATTGCCCATTTCCAAAATTCGAGCTTGATGAATGAAGACAAGCGTTGCAGGCCAATTCTCTTCGATTCAGAAGGCACAGGATTTAATAATATGGTAAACCAAAAAAAAAAAAAA